AGTTCCATTATGCAGTAAATTAAAAAATGTGGCATGATAAGACACATCTTTGGATTCCTAATTATGGAGACCTTTTTAGGGCTCATTTAAAAAGGTTTTATAGTGTACCATGAGTATGGTTTATTATAGTAAAACTTCAGAGAGATGTAATACAGAGTTGGTGAGATATGACACTCTATATGAAGAATTTTCGATCTGGGAATAACAGAAAGAAGAAGAAACACAATACCTATAAAAGCATCTTGGTTTCTTCAAAATGAAGGGATAAATAGAGAGACTTGGTGGTAGCAAAAAAAAAAGCTAAAGATCAGTGGGAGCATCAAATTTTTGATATTTGAAATGATGGGATGAAGAAGAGAATTTCTTCATGGTGTGAGACAGGGAGAATCCAAGTGCCAAAGAGATGGACACTTCGTGACATGTGAAATCGATGACCAATATATTATCTATCAGTTACGTGCTCTTCCAAGATCACAAAAGCTTGTCAAACAAATAAAAACAATGAATCAAGAAAGCCCAGGTACCACACTACATGGTTTTGAGGTATGAAATTTATCCCACATTACATGGTAAGGTGATATAGGGAAAGAGTATTGAATAACTGTTTATTTTATGTTTAATATGCTTTGGTTATATTTTGGCTAATTGTTTTATGAATATGTATGGAGTATATGGACATTAAATGATGGATGCTAATAATTTGAAAGAGCCGATTTATGAATACCCTGTGCTTTAGTGCCTCCTTGTGCTAGAGCATGAACTACTTAAGGTAGTGATACACATGGAGATGTAATTTGATCAAGGGCTTTGAGCCCTAAAAATGAAACACGAGAGATGGGTATGGCTCATTCAAATATGTAAGAACGAAGGGAGTGTTCTGATAAAACTCGATCTTAGTGACCATCCTCCCAATAATGTCTATAATATGATGTGTTGCATGTGATGATAATCTCTTGATAAGTTCTCTAATTTGCCAAAAAAGAAGTATTTTGTCAAGGATTTAATAACCATTATTTAGTAATGCTTTATTTTGAATAAAATTATAAGATGATATATATGATTTGTTTTTTATGGCCATGAACTTTACTTGGTAGGAAATTAAAGGTGAATGCAGTAAAATGATTTATGAAGGCTAAGCATGTCTTTTAAAATTAAATCGGATGATTTGAGAAAAACCTAAGTCTATGAATATGGTTTTAAGAAAATTACATAGTCTTGCAAGGTCCACTAAGTCTTTATGAAAATTATTTTAAACCGTCATACAATATATACTTAGTCGATAGTTTTTTTTTTATTAAAGAGAAAAACATTGTCTTGAGGTATTTATAAAAATAGGAGAAAAACTGACACGCATTGGTTTTTAAATACCCATGTGCCTTGACACATGTATCTAATTATTTAGAATCATCGATTACCTAAGACCTTTAACCATAGGGAATGTTGTAGGAAGGCCATCTTGCTAGGCTTCCTTGACACATATTGTGTTGATTAGATAACTTGGTTTGTATGGATTTACTACCAAGATGACTAGTATGGTTGAACCTTTGTGGTTCATGAAGGTTTTAAATATTGTAAAATCAACGGGTATTGAATTACTTATTGCATAAGAATGCTAAGAATGTATATATTGTATGTGCAATAATTGAGTGGGAGCTGCTACAATCCCACTTTTTTTTATATGCTTGGATATTCAGATATACAGGTGGAAGCTATCTCACGGATATAGATGATGCAAAGTCTACATCTGGATATGTGTTCATGCTTGGAGGGGGTACAGTTTCTTGAAAATCAAAGAAACAAGATGTGATGGCATTATCCACTATGGACATAGTACGCGGCGTGCTATTTGACGGCCAAGGAGGCTATATGGATTAAGAAATTTCTTAATCGACTTGACTTCCACCTCGTGCATTGTGAGGCAATAACGATTTTCTGTGACAACATGGCGATGATATGCGTGTCAAAGGAGCCACGATTCCATAAGAACTCCAATGATATAAAACCATATTTCTATGACCTGAGGAATGAGGTGAGATTGCAAAAGATCGAGGTCCAGATAAACTAAATATTCCAGTGGGAACACCTACTAGTATTTGAAAAGCTAGATGGAACAACAGACTATAATGTTGGTCACCCATGGAACCCGAATGTGTGGCGCTGGTTGTATGGCTATAAAAGAGAGCAGCTTATTTGAAGAACTCCTTTGAGCCCATGAACATAAGACCCTATGCGATGAGGGTACGTGACGGTCTTCTGCGACAACAGGACCATGATTCGTGATGGGATATGAAAGAGAGGCTACGAAAGATAGGCTACGACCACTTTTGGGAGAAGATCCGAGCAACAAAGAGAAAAAGGTGTTGCCTCTATAAGCCCTTTTGTGAAATGATTAATAGCGAAACCCATGATTAATGTATTGAGAGAGAATAAGTGAAAAATACATGAAACAGATTGTTTATGAAAGAGAGAGATGAGAATGAGAAAAAGTGAGGAAGAGAACGTAAGGCCGTCAAAGGCCAAGTGGGAGATGTTGGGTGAATGTGACCATTAAAGGCCTTATAAGTGCTTGTAAAATGAAATGATACAGTGGAACATGAACTCAACGGGAGTATGGTTCCTCGTGGACCATACTAAGCAAACGATATTTGCTGATACCGAACTGAGCTTGATAAGCTAAGCCAGTCGGTTGGAAAAAACCTATGTTACCTGGGCATAGAAAACTATCCAATAAGGGTTCTAATAGGTCATCCCTTGGTGAGGTCGGAGTATGCCTGGACAAGTGAGCCGAGGGACTGTGTGACCCTTGTGTGTGATGGTGGCCTTTAGAGATGGGGGCCAAAGCCTCATCCACGAGCCATCACACGGTATGCATAATGATAACCGTCTTGGGAAGGCGAACCACCTTTTAGGAATGAAGCTTATGAATGTGCGAGAGATGCCCCTATGTACCATAGGAGCTGTAGTCGCATCAAGTCTAGGTGACCTTGGTACGTCTCTAGGGGAGAACCTAAAATCCACAAACTGGGATTACAACCCTTGGCTCATTGGCCAGACTTTGGTGACCCACTAATGAGCCCCTGCATAGACGGTGGGTCATGGGAAACACTTGGTCGGTTTGATAAAGCAAGTGTGGATTGTAATCCACAGTTGAAAGTGGAGTGTCCCAGCGTTTATTTATTTAATTCCTGGACCATAGGGATCATTTTCCCATCTAATGAATTTAATTATTATTTTTTTAATGATATATGATTTTTAGAATTATTATTTGAATTTTTCTAAATCTCTGGATATTTTATTTATCAAATTTGAATTTATAAAAATAGAGATATTGATTTTAGATTGATTTAAATATTCAAATTTGATTTTATGGATGTCTAAAAATCATATAATTAATTTTAATAATTTTAATATTGCATGGGAGGCCCAATATGTTAATGGGCCCACCATTGATGTGGGTGAGGCCCATAAAGTACCACCTAAGGTGGCACACCCCACCCTAATGAAATTTTCCTTGTATTAGTTCAAGCTTTGGCTTGAAAAGAAAGCTTTGAAGTGTTTTGAAAAGATTTTGCCTTGAGGAAGCTTTCAAAGGATTTTTGGAAAGCATGAGAAGGCTTGTGCATAATTTTGGTAAGCACTATATTATAAATGGAATTATTTTATTTAATTTCTATTGATGGGAAAATAGTTTAGGAATAGGGAATAAATGATTCTAGCACCTTCCATAATGTTGAAGGCCCATTTATGGAATGGATGTCTCAAATCTGTCATCCCACAAATCACCCAAGATCAATGGTTCATATTCAATTTTGTAAGAAGAGGCAAGCCAAGAGAAACTCTAAAAAACCCTAATATTGTTCAAAGCCTATAAAAAGAGATCTTTACCCAAAATCTCTACACCTTATCTCTTACACCTAATTCCCATCTCTCTCTCATATCCCACAAAGGGGCACGCCCCACATAGAATTTATCTCTCTCTTAAGAAAGTTTTTCTCTCTCTCGAAAGCCCCAAAGGGGTACACTCTACCCTCTCATCTTTGATATCTCTCTCATGGTGGTGCTCTCAACTCTTTCATGATCTCTCATTGGGATTTTAGACTATAGGGTTGTGGTAGAAAAGATAAGTATTTATCTCAAACTAAGTTGCTAAGGGGATTTACCTAAGGGCCTAAGATTTGTGATAAAGGAGTTTATAGTTTCATTAGAGGGCTTGGCTTAAATTTGCTTTCCTGGTTGAGATTGAAGGTTGATCGTTGATCCCGCTCCATCGAATGGTAATGACTCGGTATAGGGTATAATAAGTCCGGTTGAGGTAATTTCTAGCTCTCTCTTCCTATTGTTTGTCGTATTTAATTATATTATCTTTATATTCTCAAGCATAAGAATGGTGGATATTTTCTTTGTTTAAAGAAAATTGACATAATGGCACCAAGGTTTTTAAGATCTTGGATTTGTTAGTTTTATTTTCTTTGAAGCAAGAGTTATTGTAATAAGACTACTTGTAAATGATCTTTGCCAAAAGGAAATAACAAGAAAAGAAAAGGGGTGTAAAGAATAAAAATAAAAAATATATTCCCCGACAAGATCGCATTAGTCTTTCTTTCAAAAATTGCCCCAACCCCATAGAATGCCTGATTAAACTCTAAAATAGAAAGGTCGTGATATGCATAAATCCCCATATTAAACTTATTATATCGAGGGAAATTAACATCTAACTTATCTACTATTTAACATTTTACCCGTTTTCAACTGTTCCAACTGGTCATTCATGAGTGTTTTGACTGGCATTTTGAAATTAAATCAAAAGATATTGTTGAAATATTAAAACTCAAATATTGCATCTATTAAGGTACATTATGATAAATTTCCCTTACATCAATTACCATGACCAACGTAGTACTAAAACCAATATGCCTACTGCTAAAAATATTCCAGATTCACAACGATACACTAGTCATCATGTGTTTGAGTGTGAAGAAAAGTAGAGCGCTGCACCTCACCTTAATCCATGAAGGCGGCACTGAGCCCCGTAGAGTGATTATCCTTAGAGGCACGGTTAAGGCATAAGTCTTAGACTTCCACTCCTCAAATGCAGCTTTCATCTCCTCATTTGCCAAGTTATCAACTCCACTATAGCTTTCCATGAACTGAGTCCCTAAGAAATAAATAAATCCCGTGAGAACCTATACCATCAAATACAACAAAATATTTGTTATATTTAAGTTAAGAAAAAAAAATCCGAGAAAATTTTTCGCACCTCTTCCTCTCATGGGCTGTGACTTCTCCGCTTTGATTTCACCATTGTCAAGGTTACTGCTCTTGCATAAATCAATGACACCAATTGACATTGAACAGAAACAATTTGTAGGCAATTGCCTTATTTTGGGAGGAAAAAGAGAGAAAGAACAAGCCGTGACCCCAAAACCCATTAAAAGGACTGTGGAGGTGACGAACCGAGTCAGCGAGGGCGGCAAAATTAGGGTTCCTGAAGGATTCGTGTGTGGTTCAGGGAAGAATTGAGCTGAATTTGAAGACTGTGTGCAGCATCTAGGGGTTGAGAGAATCAGGGCTTGCGAATTGTGCTTGTTTTGGTGGAATGTGTGACTGATTGGAGAATGGCCAGTTGGGGGTATGGGATTCTGGAAGAGAGGAAAGGCCATGGGAAACAGATGTTGTATGAGAGAGAGAGTTTTGTTATTTTGAACTCGTGCTATCTGCCATGGATAGTAGGAGAGAAGATAAAAGCAGACCCACTTCGTTTGAAGCCGAGTTTGATTGAAAGATTGGCTCTGATTTTTCCCGGTAGGCTTTTGGCGCGGCTACCCTTGCATGCAACAGCGATGAAATTTTTAGGGAAATTATCACAAATATATGTGAGGCGCAGTTTGGATGTCAAATACAAAATATTTATTTTTTTCAACTTTATTAATAAATATATATATATTTTTTTATTAATTTGTTGGACAGAATAAATGGTGTGGACATATATTAAAATGAGTTTCGTGGAGGGACAGGGCTAGCATTTTTTCTCTCTTCATACAAGTCCTACCGGCTCCATTTGAGAGAGAGAGAAAATGGTTGCCTCACTTGATGCTGGTGTTATAATTATGTAGGCAGCCAAGTATGGTCGTAGATTGGAAATGAGTTGCAACTGACGTCTAGAGAAATAAAATGGCACCATGGCCAAAGCGCAAACCCTAGTTTATGCAACTCTTCTTCTTAATCCATTTTCTTCCATTTCGGACCATACAATTCTTCTTTTTCAGCCATTTTCTTCCATTTCTACAACTTTTCTTCCTCATCCATTTTTTTCTATTTCTGCAATTGAGGTCAGGCTTAGAATAAAAAGAAAAGGTACGCCGGTTCAAGGATATAGGGTTTTTTTTATAGAGATTGATGGTTTTTTTGTAGAGATGGGATTTGGGGTTTTTTACAACCAAGATGGATGGTTTTTTTATAGAGATAGGATTTTGTGAGTTTTCGGTTCTTTCGCTATTGATGCTTGGAGCAAGATGGATGTTTTTTTTATAAAGATGTGATTTGGGGTTTTTGGCTCTTTCGGTGTTGAAGCTTGTAGTAAATGACAAATGGTTTTTACAGAGATGGGATTTGGGGTGATTGGTTTTTAGTGACCCAAGTTTAGAGAGAGAAAGTAGAGAGATAGGGTTTGGGTTTTTGGGAGTTTCTTTGTTCATGAACCGGCGAGAGATAGCCCATCTGAAAAAATTCAAGTCTAACTTGAATTTTTTTAAAATTTTGCCTTGAAGCTGAAGGATTTTTTATTGCAATCTAAAAATATTGCAATTTTAGGTGGTTGTCCAAACGGATGAAATCTATTTCACAAGATTTTTGGATTGCAATCCAAAAATATTGCAATTTTGGGTACATCCAAACTAGCCCTTACTTTTTTTTTATTTAGAAAACATCTTTCTTTCATAAACTTCGCCCACACCCTTCGAAAAAACCTTTCATGGTAGTCGTATTACCGTAAAACCAATTACTGTACTTTAAAAACTAAATCCATGTTATACGGTACTTTTAGTATTATAAAAACTAACTCATTTTATACGTAAAAACTAACTCACGTTATACTGCATTTTAAGTACAGTAAAAACTAACACACGTTATACGACACTCAAAATGTCATAAACTCTTTTCTCTTATTCATATTTATCTCTTTCGTCACTCTAATTTTTTTTATATTTATATCTTCTTTTTCTCTCTAATTCCTTTTAATATTTATCTCTTTTTACTCTCTCTAATTTTTTTAATCTCTTATTTCTCAGTCTAAATCTTTTCTCTCACTAACTCTCTTTTTCTTTCTACTTACTTCAACAACTCAACAAACACGATTCCAATACAGTACAAATCTAACTACATCTAATTTTCATAGTCACTAGCTCTCTTTCTCTTTCTACTTACTTCATCAACTCATCCGTCTAATTTTCATAGTCACTAGCTCTCTTTCTCTTTCTACTTACTTCATGAACTCATCCGTTTAATTTTCATACTCACTAGCTCTCTTTCTTTTTCTACTTACCTCATCAACTCAACAAACATGATTCCAACACGATACAAATCCGACTTCATCTAATTTCATAGGGATGGGGTTGAAGGGAGTTTTATAGGGATGGTTGAAAGAAAGACCACCAACAATGGTAAAGTAGGCACAAGTTGTTATACAAATCTCCTTGAAGAGAGAAAGAGAGTTAGAGAGAAAAAGAAGAGATAAAAAAGAATTAGAGATAGAAAGCAGAAATAAATATTTAAAAAGAATTAGAGATAGAAAGCAGAGATAAATATTAAAAAGAATTAGAGAGAAAAAAAAGAGATAAACATAATAAAAAGAAATAGAGAGAGGAAAAAGATAAATATAAACAAGATAAAAGAGACAAATATAAACTTACTTTTTACAGTACTTAAAATGTAGTATTACATGGGCTAGTTTTTACGGTATTTAAAATGTCGTATAACATGGGTTAGTTTTTATGGTACTTAACATGTGGCATAACATTTTAGTTTTTAGGTATAGGTTTTAGGTAATACGACTACAATGAAGCTTATTTTGGTAAAAAAAGCCAAAAAAAGGTGTGGGCGAGGTTTATGACAATTAAATGTTTTTTCTAAATAAACGAAAATTGATATATATTTGTGATAATTTTCCAAATATTATTGTTTTTGAAATTTGGATATGTCATTAATATTTATATTAGATTTTGCTATGGCCTACAACCTAACAATAACAAATACTCGCTTTAAAAAAACGAGACGAACATTTAATAACCTACAAAAGTGGAACACATAAAGCCAGATATACATTTTCTTAGTTAAGAAGGTAGATCGATGATCATGCCCAGGAGAATTTAATGGGCAACCAATAACTAGGTGGTAGAATTTAAGAAGGAAAATAGACCTTTGAGCATGATGCCAATATAATATGGAATGAGATGCTTGAATGTATCAAGAAAGTGGAAAAATAAGTTTTAGGATAATCTAGAGGGAAAATAAACTTCAATAAATAAACATGGTGGTGGAATGAAGAAGTTCTTAAGGCCATTAGCGAAAAACGATCATGTTATAAAACTTAACAGTGTAATAAAACGATCACAATTTAGAAGAATATAAGAATGCTAAGAAAAGTGCTAAACAAATAGTAAGTAAATCTAAACTTAATGCATATGATAATCTATACAATAAACTGAGAACAAGAGAAGGTGAAAAATATATCTTCAAATTAGCTAAAATAAGAGAGAGAGAATGTAGGGATCTAAATCATATTAAATACATTAAGAGTGAAGATCAAAAGGGTCTTGCTAAAGGATGGTGAGGTCAACGAAAGATGAAGAGTCTATTTTTAAAAATTATTAAATGATGAACAAAATGGGAACATAGTGGTTAAATGGACTGTTGGTACAAGTGATAATGGAGGTCATAGATACATTCGTAAGATTAGGATTAGGATTTCGGAAGTGAAAGAAGCTTTGAAAAGGATGAAGATAGGAAAAACTTCAGGGCCAAATGGTATCTCGATAGAGGTTTGGAAGTGTATTGGGGAAATTGACATTGACTCACTGACAAAGCTATTTAACAAGGTGTTGAGAACAATACAAATGCTAGATGAATGGGGAAAAGTATTGTGGTACATATTTGTAAAAACAAATCAGACATACATAATTGTGCAAACTATCGAAGGATCAAGCTTATGAGCTATACAATGAAGCTCTAGGAAAGAGTGATTGAGCAAAGGCTAAAGCATGAAACGAGTATATCTGAAAACCAATTTGGTTTTAGGCCAGGAAGGTCAACAACTGAGGCTATTTTCCTACTTAGGCAATTGATTGAGAAGTTAAGGGCGAAGGAAAAAGACCTCCAAATGGTCTTTATTGATTTAGAGAAAGCTTATGATAGAGTACATCGATGTTTGATTTGACGGGTGTTAAAAAAGAAAGACGTTTATAGAGACTACATCAACTTGATGAGAGGTATGTACGATGGAGCGGTAACTAGTGTACGGACAATTAGTAGAGAGACATGTGAGTTTGCAGTGACAATATGTCTATATCAAGAGTTAGCATTGAGCCCTTGCTTCTTTGTCTTAGTTATGTACTACTTAACTAATCACCTACATGATGAGGTATCGTAGTGCATGTTGTTCGCAGATGATATAGTTTTGGTTGATGAGACCCGAAATGGCGTCAACACAAAGTTAGAACTTTGGCGGGATGCTCTGGAATTTAAAGGTTTTAAAATTAGTTGGACTAAGACATGGTATATTAAGTGTAAATTTAGTAATAATAGGAGTATAGACAAGGAAGTAGTTAAGATTGATGGTCAGGAAGTATAAAAAATACCACACTTTTGATATCTTTGATCGATAATTCAAGAAAATAGAGAGATTGAGGAAGATGTTGCACACAGAATTAGAGTTGGATGGGCGAAGTGAAGATGTGCATCTGGAATTTTATGTGATCGCCACATACCAATGAGGCTGAATGACACGTTCTATATGACAATAGTAAGACCAACTTTGCTCAATGGGGCAGAATGTTGGGTAGACAAAAAATAATATACCTATAGAATGAGTGTAGCGGAGATGATGATGTTGAGATGAATGAGTGACAAGACAAGAAGGCATATAATTCACAATGAATCTATTCGAGAGAATTTAGGTGTGACACAAATAGGCGATAAAATGAGAGAGAGTATACTTTGATGGGTTGGCCATGTGTGTGAAATCGACCAAGTACATCACCTGTTAGGATGTCCAAATTAGTTCAAGTGAAATGACTGAAAAGGCCAAGGGGTAGACCAAAAAAGACATGGTTGGAAGTAGTCCGAAAAGATATGGGGACTTATGACCTCACTAAGGATATGCCCTTTAATAGAGGAGAATGTAGAACCAGGATTTATGTAACCGACCCCAATTAATTGGGAAAAGGATAAAATGATGATGATGATGATTTATATTTGAAAAAAATGTATTAGGTTGCAACCTTAAAATGTAGAATTAAGGTGCACCTCAAAAATCTATAAAATAAAGTTGTTTGATGTTGAAAAACCATCCAATTGATAATCTCAATATCGAGATATATAAATATATTAAAAAAATTCAATCCTAAAAATAAGGCATATTGCGACAAATTATATAGACAAATCCATTTTCAAGATTTTCATGTGTTTATAGATCTGTTTGATCTTAGCCGGAGTTGAAATTTTATAATTAGTTATGAAAATGGATTTTTGGGCCGTCCTAAGAATTTTTAACACCAAACTTACATCTTATGATAAAATTTGGAGGTCCATCTTAATTTGATTATTTAAGGTTGCAACTTTATCCACAAAACCACCCACTTTATGTTTTAGTTTAGGAAGATGTTTATATAAGGGTGAGGCTCTAAACAATCAAATTAAGGAGCGCCTCAAAATTCACCAAGAGAGGTTGTTGTGCTACCCAAAAATCCTCAAATCGATCATCTCGACCTCAAAATTATAGATCGGAGAAAAAATGGATTTCAAATCGTAAAAATAGTAGATCTTTTAACCAATTATGCGGACCATCTATTTTTAAGATTTTCAAGTGTTTATAAACATGCTTGGTCTACACCGTATTTGAAATTTTAAATTTCATAAATAGGGTAGAACATATACTTTTAAACCATCATAACATTTTTGACACCAAAACTATATTTTTCTGGCAAAATTTGGAGGTGTGCCTTACTTGCATAGTATAAGGTGAGCACCTTATACAAACCTCACCCTTTTTTTATAAATCTTATTATTTTTTTGTTTATACTTTCTCATCATCAAGCATATGTAAAACATTATAAGAAATAATTATATAAAAAATACAACTATCAGAATATCCATACCAATTTTGGAACTATTTTGGTTATTTTCTTTATTGAAAATTATTTATTTTAATATTTTGTACATAGATATTATGGTGAGAAGTATGAACACTAAAAAATTAGGTTTAAAAGAAGGGTGCAGTTGGCATACGAATGCATCAATAGTTGTAGAGGTAAAGTGCACCTTCAAATTTTATCATGGTATATAATTTTGATGTAAAATGTTCTCAGGGTTATTTCAAAATCTATTTTTATATCTAATTATAAAATTTTAAATTTTAAAAATGGCTAAAATCAAGTAGATCTATAAACATATGAAAATCTTGAAAATGGACGGTGTAAATAAAATGATGTAAATTGCACTATTTCTGAGACTTAAAATCTTTTTATTTTTCATGGTCATACATCTCAATGTCGAGATGATCAATCAAAGGGTTTTTCAACATTAAAACTACCTTTCGGAATTTTGAGGTGCATCCGTAGTTCTATATTATGAGGTTGCATGCTTATATAAACTTTTTCCTTTAAACAATGTATAGGAAATTTTAAATTAAAGTATAATACATGCTCTTAAAAGCTACGATATGAGTATAAAATATGAAATATTGATGACTATTTTTTAACTATGCATAATATAAGGGAATTTTAAACAAGTTGAAAGTTCTATTGAAATTCATGATGTCAAAGTTTGGGATGTAATCTCTTCAACTCAGACACCAACTTTAAAGTCAAAAAAAAAAAACTGCAATGCGCTTTATATTGGACAAAAGAAGTCTTAAAATTCAATAGAGACTACCCAATTTTTTTTTGATCAAGTATAATTTAAAATCCAAATTCACTTTTTAAAAATAAAAATTTTTTATATAAAGTGTCAACCTTAAATTATATAATTTAAATGACGTGCATTTCAAAAACCCATCGACAAAAGTTCATTTGATGTTGAGAAACTCTAATTGATTATGTAGAGAAAAAAAATCAAGTATTAAAAACAATGTATCGAGTAACATATTTTATTTTTACACCATCCATTTTTGGGGTTTTCATAATTATGGGGTATACATTTTCAGGTTTTCCTAAGAGTTTCGGGCGCCGAATTACTGCATCTTGCATGCGAGGTTACAAGGTGCGCCCACTTTGATTATTTAAGTGGACCCTGTATAAATCATATCCTTTAAAAATAGCCAAAAGATTTCTGCTTCTGGCGGAGTATACTATCCAACTACTCCATCAGGCAAAACTTATACTAGGAATACTTTTTAGATCCCAAAATTTAGAGAAGTGATCTCTAGAGCCAGTGACTAAACTTAAAAGTAAAAAAAACCACTTTCTACATGCCTAAAAAAAAAGTGGCATCCCAAGATTGCACAAGAACTTGTTCAACTTTACAAGAGAAAGAACATGATGTTCAAGAACTCAAAATCCAAATTTTTTTCTTGGAAACTAATCATATAGTTATATACTTAAATGGCAGTTAAAATTTTTTTTTTTTAAAAAAATCCAAAGTATGTCTTTCGGCTGAGGTATAAAATATATGGTGTGCTCCTTCTGAAGCATAGTATACATGCTCTTAAAAATGCATTTAGTGATTATTAGATGGACCCCAATATTTCAAATTTCAGTTGGAGGTTAGTTTTAATTGCTTTTTTACGAACTAAAAAAACAAACTTCAACTTTTAAAAATAATCATCTCGTGATTATGAAATGAATCCTAAAATTTCAAACGGGAAAGAAACTCTTAACCATTGTTCGCAAAATCGCCCGATCCAACTTCTAACTGCCTGGTTATATCGGAACCGGCCAGTGGCCAGTTCCGGTTAGAGTGATCAACCAGTATTTTTTAAAAAAAATATATATAAATTCTCAAAAATAAAAAATTTGATCTGTAATGCATTTTTAAATATTATTTACATCATGGTAAAGATTAAAATTTGTTTTGATCATTAATACTCACTTTTATATTTTTCCGTCGTTTTTAGAAAATTTTAATTGCCCTTGGCAAATATAAAATGGGCTAAAATTTATTTGTTTCATTAACTTTCAACTTCATTTGAATGTTCTATTTTAATCATTCTTTATATGTTTTTCATATTTTAGTAGATTTTTTTTGTATTTTTTTCAACACTTATTAGGTTAAAGTGGTTGAATCGACCGGTTTACCGATTAGGTTGGTTAAACCGTTTCCAGGCCCATGTCCAGTTAATCGTTTTGGTTCGATTTTGCGATCACTGCTCTTAACCACTTGATTACAAAAGTATGGACAAATAGTGTTCTTTTTCTATAATTTGCAATCGGCTAAACGATGAATTGGTAAATCATCTTAGCTCTCTATGGGTGTTAGATTGTTATAGTTAGAATAAGAGGTTGTTATTAGGTGGTGTAATAGTTGTGGTGGTAATGATGGTGGTGATATAGTCTGGTGGTGGTGGCGAAGCATGGGGTTGGAATGGGGCAAGAAGCTGGCGCAGGTTGCTAGACCCGGCCATAAAAAAAGCTAGATCATCGGCCACAAAGTGGTACATGTCCGAGTTTGGGATAGGGCCATGACATAGTCAGGCCATCCCGGCCTAACCCTTCTTCTCTTTCATTTGTGTTTTTTTTTTCTTTGATTGTATTTTGCACGGCCACGCCAGGGTTGACTCATTGCCCGCTTTAACAATGCAATGGTAGTGGTAGAGCCAGCAAAGAGATGGTGATGGTGGCAGCAGCGGCAGGTGGAGGTTGTAGAGGCGGCGGTAGAGAGGCAGTGGTGGAGTGGCGGTGGTGGTGCAGATGGTGGTATTGGTGATGGTGATGGAGGCAGTAGTGATGGTGCCCAAGCGGTCATGATGGTAATACATATATTGGTAGTGGTGTTAGGCAATGATAGTAGCAGCGGTGGTAATTTTTCAAACAAATTCGGCCAATTTCAGTTAGCACCAATCCAATTTTATGAATTAATTGTTTCTTAAAATCAAATTTATGATGAAAGATTTTCAAATAGGCCTACTTTGTAATTTGGCTAGGAAACGAAATAGTGCTTCTTTAACCTGAGGGATCAAGTGTACAGGCTGCGGGAGCACAATATACGAGTGGTAAATAGGAAGGTGTCGATACCGCTAATTCCTCCAGCCTCAATAAAGGGTGCCGTTTGTATAGAGTCGACGCTTTAAACAACGAAAATAAAGCGCACTTTCAATTAGTGTCAAGAAATATAGTTTTAATATTGAAAATTTTTGTGATTGCCTTAAAATATATTTTTATTTTTAATTATAAAATTTAAAGCTTCAGAAATAAGCAGATCTATGAAAACTTGAAAATCTTAAAAATGAACGGTCCAAAAATACATTGCAAGATGTACTATTTCTAAAACTTGAAATCCATTTTTTTTCTCATTTTTATGTATCTTGATGTCGAGATGATCAATTTGAGGATATTTGAGCTTCAAAACAACCTTCTTCTAGTGAAATTTTGATGTCGAGATGATTAATTTGAGGATATTTGAGCATCAAAACAACCTCTTTTAGTGAAATTTTTGAGGTGGGTTCTAATTTGATTGTTTAGAGCCTATGCTCTATATAAATTCTTCCTTTAATAAAACTTCTAGCATACATAAATGTATCATTATCCCAAAGACCCGGTTTCTATGCGGCCAAGCCTGTATATGTAGAAATGCGGGCTTCTTAATAAATCTATTTTTGAGATGGTTTTTAAGACTTGACATTTAAGGACATGTAATCTCTAACATGGAGATCATGAATATGAAAAATTAAATAAAATTTAAAAACTAAAAATAATATTTCTAGTAAGAAAACATTTGGACGGTTACTTTCTATAGTTTTTAGATGGAACACCAACTTGCATCCTCCATATTTAAGATGGATGCTTTACACTTTTAGACCGCATATGTAGAAATGCGGTCCAACTCGCATGAAACAACTTTTCTTATCTCAAATCATATGCATTTTATAAAACAAAGAACAATTGTTTCATGCAGGTTGGACCACATTTCTATAATATGCGGTCCAGAAGTATAAAACATCTATCTTAAAGATGGATGCAAATAGGTGGTCCATCTAAAAGAATTATAACTAACCGTTCAAATGTTTTTTTAATATACTTATTATTTTTAGTTTTCAAATTTTTTTTTTTCATGTTCATGATCTCCATGTTTAAGATTATATATTCTCTAAAAAGTAAGATCAAATTATATTTAAAAAATATATTTGTTGTGAAGCCCGTATTTATACAATATGCGGCTGACCGCATGCTAACCGCGTCCTTATGAATGCGCCCATAGGATCAGATAGCGTTCATAGCCGTCCGATCGAGGTTTTTTATTTTCAATTCAATTCATCTTCAAATTTCTTATTTTTTGGACCAAGAGCAGAGAGTGCAAACACTGAAATATAAATACGCGGGGAAGTATGTTTGGCCCGGGTACTCCGGTCGACGACCCGCGCTTTAATTGAGTTTTTTAGTCCAATCGAACCAGAGGTCGCAAAGAACCAGGTTGCTAAGCCCTAAGACTGCAAAAACCCTAGTTTATCTCTCTAAAACCCTAATTCTCATACTCTAATTAACCATGTCGTGAGTTATTCAATCAAATACCTAGTTTCTCTCTCTGAAACCCTAGTTCTCATACGCTGTATCCTGGATCGTTCCTGCAAAATGGTGGTTTCTATTCCTTATATTCTAATACTCGGACTCGAATATATGAAATTATGATTATGTTTTAATCCATAGTTATGTACTTTATTAGGCTTTTGCTGAATGTGTACAATGTTTAAGTGCAAATGGTGTTTACTCTGATGTCTGACTTGTTTCTTGTGTTTTGGATTTCATGTATCTTTGTTTCGATACCTTTGGTGCATTAGATCATTTTAACCGGACTGTATGACTGATCTATCTGGATGATTCTGTTTTTAGGGATTTCAAAACTTTATGACGTGAATTCATGTACGTTTGGAGCAATTTACATGTTTTTTAAGTTTTTGCAGTTTTATTCTATACGGTCGATTCTTGGGTATTCCTTGTAAATATAGGGTGTTCTGGGATGTTAAAATGTTCATAATCCTTCATAGATATTTTGTTGTGTTTTATGCTTTGAGTTTCACATTGTGTTAAAAAGCTCTGATATGATAATTGCATGCATTGATGCATTCTACAGTTCCATTTTGTACCATTAATTTTTGGTAGTCCTTGTACATGTGGGTTTTCTAGGATGTTATAATGTTCACAATCCTTAATTGAAACTAAGATATTATGTTGCGTTTTATGCTTCAAATTTGCAGTGAGAATTTCGAAGGATGTTTCATGTTGTAGTATAAGAATTGGAGTATCTGGCACGTTGGTTTGTTAGCCTGTCCAGTATTAGTCTCAAAGTATCTAAACTTAGTATTACGAAAACACAATGAACAAGCATGCAAACATTGCAATGGAGGGGTGCATGCCGAAAAATTAAGTGATCACTTCGACCCTCAATTGTGAATTTCTTGGCAATATTCAAGTCTTTGCAACCTCTTATTTGGCATAATGAGCAAAACCATGACACGTCAATGACTTTTATAATGGGAACAGGCCAATAATAAAGAAAAGAAATGTATCTGTACAACTACATCAATTTCTATGTATTATTGTCTGATAATTTTGATTCTAAGGTCTTCATTCCAAAAAAAAAAAAATTTTTTTGGACTCTAAGGTCTATGTATCATACCAAAAGATAAGGTAGGAGCGAGAGCTTGAAATGGACATTTTAAATCTACTGGAGATGCACCAGGCAGCTATTTCCTCTTCTAAGTTTGATTTGGTTAATCTAAAAGAGGTCTATTGATTATGTGGCATATTAATCTGAACTATAATACTTGAAATTTGGCACTTTTTTTTGGTATTTAAAAGGTCCACCCTCTTGAAACATCAAAAAAAAGAAAAGAAGCAAAAGAGCATCTTCCATTGTTACCCCCCTTACATTTTATCTTAAATGGAAGTATAAACACATTACATCGTTGTGCCAAGATATCTGAAATGAAGATTCCATATCTGCCAAACTAGTGTGATGACTGCATTCTATATGTAAAAAAAATAAATAGAGAAAAGTAAAGAACAATAAAAAAGTGAATCAGCACATTTCTTAGTGTAAGTAAAAACTGTGTTCTTCACCTTCTTGCCTGAATGGCGGCCCGTACATTGGTTGTCTCCCATCTCCAATTCCAAGTTACAGGCCTCCTATAAGCGGTAGTCACCCTCCTGCTGCCCCTTGTCAGGCTGGTTGTCAGCTAGTAGCTAACTTCTAACTTCCATAGTACATTATATGATTCTTTTGTTCGGGTGCCATAACCATGTCGGACACATATCAACACTGACAACACATATACCAGTGCATTCTTCTGGATTCTTCTTCTTGTTTATAGTTGATCTTGTTCTTCTGAATAGGCACATGTGAACTTTGAAAATATCCATGGAACTTTGGACATATATATGGATTGAGCTCACTGTGGATTAGTTGTTCTTATGTCTACTCGTCATGATATGAAATATTAGCAAAGCATTGTTGTATTTGGTGGCCTCTTCTACTATAGCCATGAGAGAATGAGTTGGGGCCTTGGCGGTAGTACCAACGAGCGCTATGATGAAGTCTCTGACTCCATTCTCACCAAAGGGTAGGGGCCCAAAATATCCCCATTGACTTACCCCTTTTTTTTTTTCTTATATTGAATCCTCCCCTTCATGGCATGAGGAATTTGATGCGCCACGCCGCATACACATACTGTTGTCGTAGCAATGTTTCCTACGACGTTTTTAACCTTGATCTTTACTTCTCATGCTCTGCATTGGTGACTTCTTAAGGGATTGTCCTCATCCTTTGAAAAAGTCTTCTCCTACAATCAGTTTATGTGTGAAATTGATGTTATTGGGGATGTTATTTCTTACATGAGGCTAAGGGGTTCACCAAGCTTACTATATCGCACAACTTCTTGGATGCCAATTAAAATTGCCCTTCGGTCCAAGTTGTGTTATTCATTTTTAATTTTCAAATTTACATAAAATTAGTCTTCTATAGAGCATGTCTAAAATTGATGCACGCCTGTTATCTCAGGTGCTTGCTTGAAGCCTGCCTGGCACATCTAGGTAGGTGCGATGCTGTCGACAAGGTTTCAAGGCACCCCAACCCCTTATATATCTCTGTGTGTGTGTGTGTGTGTGCACATGTGTATGCGCGTGCTTGTAAAACTATGCAAATATACGCATATAATAGACAAAATGCTTGTTAACTAATTACATAGTCCAGATAATAAACTGAGTACATATATATAGTGCATATAATAAACTAACTCACCGAGAACATATAATACATGTAATTTTATATAAGGTTTATGTATATGTGTAATTTAACCATGACTAAGCTTTGTTGTCTGATCTAGAAGCCTTGACGTTTTTAATGTACTTTAAATCACCAAAACGCTCCACTTGTAACCTCCCTTGATCAGTGTTCAAGAAATCGGCAGAGGCGACTGCTACTTGGCTGAGTTACTTGGCCTCGCAGGGTGCTTAGGCGAGTCTTGGCCGCGCAGGGCGCTTAGGCGAGTAATATTTTACATAATCATGGGTTGGGTCCCTATATAGTACCCAGGTAACTTGCCCAAGTAATGTTGAACTTGGGTGTCGCCCTGGTTTTACAGTACATGGGAGAGTTTGTACAGTACTTGCCTAGGCCTTTACAGCGAAATGTAGAATAGAAGTGGGGCAGATCTGTCCGCCCCCTCCAAAAAAAAAATATTCTCTCTCGCTCTCTCTCGCTTTCTCTCTCTCTCTCTCTCACACACACACACACACACACACACACACACACTGAGGAAGATCTCTCTTTTGCGATTACATGTTCTCTTCTCTTCCTCCAAGGGGTCCTAAACCCTAGTTTAGGAAACCCTAATCCACGAAAGTGTAAAAGAAAACCAGACAACTTTCTTGTCATTATGTGCGAGAAGTCATAAAAAGAAATGAATCCAACACCAAGAGAAGCTTGAATGGTTTTTACCATGGAAGTTCTAGGAGTTCTTGAGAACTTGCAAGGATAACATGTTGGACTGTTGGATTCTTCTCTAGTTCTCTCTCTAAATAAAACCATGAATGGAGAGAATTTGAATCAGAGGTTAGAGAGATTGGATTGAGATTGAAGTTGCCATTTGTAGAGATCTTGTGGGAGATCATTGTAGATATGTTAAAAGAATTAATGTCTAAGAGTGACTCATTATTGGTCTTTTCACAAAAAGTCCACTATTTTTATAAAATTGTAAAACAAGCCTCTTGTGGCCTCTGGCTGGACTCGAGCAAGTCCACTTGGACTCAGCGAAGTTACTTGGCAAGGGTAGATGCCGAGTCCCAAACCTAAGCCTAGTAATTGAAGTATTGAACTTTGCTCTTGATGTTTGATCATTATTTTGAAGTAATTGAAGTATTGAACATTGCCTAGTAATCAAGTCTAAAGAGACGTGTGTCCTAGACCTACCTAATTTGATCATTAATTTGAACTTCCGCCTTGGAAAGTTAAGCCAGGCCTAGGCGAGATGGCCTATGGCCTTGTGGGCGTTTAGGCGGCCTCCAGTGTTTTAGAAAACACTTGGCGGCGCCTAGTCGGCCAGGGGTCTAGGCTGCCCAGCGCCTCGGCGGGAGCTCAGAACCTGGGTGGTGGTCCTGTAGAAAGGAAAATGTTTCTATAGTCTAACAATATAAGTATAATTGTATAACACATAAGAGTTACAGACTTAGGGCACATCAAATGTATAGTACACAAGTCCACCTAGCACACACTCCTCCATACTCCATAAGTCCATATCCAATTATCCATAGTCTAATTGTCCACACTCCACACATAGTTAAAACTTAAAATTTATTTCAAGGAATTGAAATGAATGCTTGCGTCATAAAACCATCTAGCAATATATTGTGCCACTCTATCTCTCTCTTCCTTCTTGATTCTATTTTCAATGGTGGTTTGTTTCTTTGTTTTCTTGTTTTCTCTCTTGCAACCTCAGGGTCAGGCTGGGGCAAAAAACAATCCATAGTCCCTCTAACCTGGGGCCTCTTAGGCCCCTCACTCCCAAAAGTAATTACAACTCCCTTTCTCTTCTCTCTAATCATAGATTGTTGTTGTTCTATTTTGACATCCCTCGCCGTCCTCATCACTGTCATCATCATCATAATTGACCCGAACCCTAGAGCTCATCTATGCTATGGATGCCTATCTCTCATCTCTTTTTCATTTTTACAAGACTCAAAGAAATTTTATCTCCTCTTTAACAACATTAGGAGTTTCTGTACATGTGGCAACATCCCCCTCTGATACCGGCAAGATGTTTCTTGAACCGGTTTATGCCCCTTTTGTATCATTTTCACAAAAAATGCATCTTATGCAATTTTTATCCAAAGGATTCGGGTTGTAGCCATATTTCCAACCCGGATCTCCACTTCAATTAGATTCCGAAGAAAACATCTCAAAATAATACAAGCAATAAAAAAAAAATCACTAAGTTTGATTGCTCGATCTCCAAACTTCCGCCTCTGAGATGTTTCTAAGGACTCAAAATCTTCAACAAGACCCTCTAATAGATTATATAACATCCAAAGCTACTCTAATATCAATGAGTGATGCTTAGTTCAATTTCTTGTAACTTTAAGAAACCCTTCAATCTTATGGAAATCGCAAAAAACTACTTTTTTTGGGTTTTTTTCTCCCAAAAATAGGTTCTAATGCAAATGAACCTGAAACTCACGATTTTGCCCTTTTTATATTTAAAAAAAGACCAAAAACTACCCTCAACATGGTGAATTTGCACCCCACGGCATTTGCGCCCTTGGGCAGGGGATGGCCCGCTTAGGTGGGCGCCCAGGGACAGACCACCTAGGCGGTCTGCTTTTTAAAACAATGGTGGCCGCCTAAGCACTGGGTGAGCCATTTTTTAAAACAATGGAAATTAGATGGGAGAGTGTTCTGCTATGATTTCCTTTGAAGAGTACTTTGTTATTTAGACTTCAATTGCCACAACTCTTAATATCATGGTCTGCCTTTTCGAATAAATATGACATTCTAGTGTCAAGAGGTTAATGTGAGTTCTGATGGATGCAGTGTGGTAAGCATGCTATTGTTTTCAAATCTCCTTTGTTACTTTGCAAAATGGAAATTGGGACCCCATAAACTGGGTTTTGGCAATTGGTTGGGTGAATAGGACTGGATGATGGAGAAACCGAGTGTCTTCTACCTTTGTCTTAGGATTTTTGGCATTAGGTATTTTGCAACCCAGGCTTGATATTTTTGGTCTCGCTTCCATGATAGGAGAGGAATGGGGGAAGAAGTCAAGGGTGGTCCTGTGGTTCCAGAATCTGTACTTAAGAAGAGGAAGAGATCTGAGTCTTGGGCTTTGGCAAAGAAGACCGCCCTTGAAGCCAAGAAGAAGAAGAATGCAGAAAACAGGAAGTTGATATTCAAAAGAGCTGAACAATACATGAAGGAATACAAACAACAGGCAAATAATTGCATGTGTTTTTTCTCTTTTCCTTCTGTAATGTTGATACATTATTATAGAATTATTTTCTACTTAATTAATTTTTGCTAGTCTTTTGTAAACTTCAGCTACAAATTTTCCATTTCTTATTGAAGTGATAGAATTTATGCCTCCATGTTTTCTAGGAGCTAGAACTGATTAAGCTAAAACGGGAGGCCAAGTTGAAAGGTGGATTTTATGTCAACCCTGAGGCGAAATTGCTTTTTATCATTCGCATTCGTGGGTATGTTTTCTGTGATTTCCTTTTCTGTTTAGCATTAGGCGTGTAAAAAGGTCCAATTTAAGTTTTTGTTTATATTATAAGTTTGTACGTGGCTTCTGACTACTGTTTGGTTATGTTGCAAATTGTGATATGGTAGTAATGGGGAAGGAATTGGAGTTCTTTCTTGTTCCAATTTCGACTTGTCACAAAAGGCACCTGGGATAACTTCCATTTATCGAGGAATTAGAGTTGGCATGTCAATTTAAATTAACCTTAATAATGTGTAGTTGATAAATATGTGATAACTGAATGATGACATCATCATCATCATTAAATTACACAAAAAAAGGAATGAATAGTCTGACATCATCCCTCATCTAGAAGTGGATGATTCCAAAGGAAAATGTGCAAATATAGAATGCTGCATTTATTGATGAAAAATAGCCCCTTGTATCATTGAAAGAAATAGTTGAACGGAATATTTGCAATGGGAAACCTAAATTCATGTCATCCTGTGAATTTCGATTAGGAAATAGAATATGTTCTTTATATTTTGGTATGCTAAACAGTAGAGGTTTTGCTACTAAATGGGACCCTTTTTATTCCTCTTTTTGTTTTGAAATATCTTTTTGTCTGCCAAATGTCTTCGGAAGATCTTAAAATGCTTCGGTTGCTATGGAAATTGTCGATGAATTGGAGAGAACCAATAAGGTATAGAAAGTGTCGCTCAAGTGAAATTCAGTCTGCCTTCAGATACATCACTCTTATATAAGGCCAATTCAGCAAATTAACGTCACATTTTCACTGAACACACTCATTGTAAGACGGATACTCGTCATCCATGCTTGGACAAACCTAAAATTTCATGCACACAAACTGATGCACTCTGCATTTCTATATTAGAAAACAAACAAACATGCATAACTTAACAAAAAATTGACAAATGTACATGTATTTCATGCATTATTAGATAACATGGGATTGACATATACATGCATACATACATATTACATAGTTGTCCTGCCAACTGCATCCTATGTTGCAAAGGGGACGGTTAGTTATTGTGTTGTTTCATTTTCTCTCTGGTATCTGATTTTTGTACTTGACCTCCAGTATCAATGCCATGCACCCGAAGACCAGGAAGATCTTGCAGCTCTTGCGTTTGAGACAGGTAAGCTTTTTTTCGTTGTACATTTTATTTACTTCATTTGCTTCGCTTATGTCCTTACTTCATATCGCTGCAGATATTTAATGGGGTCTTCCTCAAAGTGAACAAAGCTACTATGAACATGCTTCATAGGGTTGAGCCCTACGTGACATATGGGTTTGTTTCATTTCTTCACGAATCATTTAAGCAACCTTGAATCTCTTGTGCTACCCCTATGGTTTACGTGTTTAAATGAAGTAATTGAGGGAACTTAATGTCTAATAAAATCTATGATAAATAGGGTTTCACAATCCTATTGCTTTTTATATAAACTCGTGTGTGGTGTAGGTATCCTAATTTAAAGAGCGTTCGGGAATTGATTTACAAGAGGGGCTATGGAAAATTGAGAAATCAGAGAACTGCTTTGACTGACAATTCCATCATTGAAGAGGTACGTTCATGTGAATTGATAGTAGCTAGCTTCTTTTCCAAAATCATGTATTAATAATCGAGGGATTTAATGAAGACGAAATTGTGTCATGACATTGATAATGTACTGTTATGTATGCTATGAAGAACATCAACCCTTTGTTGTCAACAAGGGATGCTCGATGTGAACCCTTCATCTGCTCAAGCCTCTCTAGTTCTGTTTGAGCTGAGGAATAATTTACCTCAGCTACAAATAGTTGAAAGCATATGCCTAATGTTGCTTATAGCATAACGATCTATAAGCAGTAAGATTTACAGCATTTTACAAGTATCACTGCATACAAATCTTTAAACAAATGATATCCTTAAGACCGGGTTTTTCCTCGTTTTACCAAATCATCAAACAAATGATCTTTAAGACCCTAAGTTTTTCCTCCTTTTACCTTATTTATTTTTGCAATCCATGTTTCTATTGAAAAAAAAGGAGGAAACCAACTTTAAATAAATTTGTAGCGGATAATATCATCTCAAGATTGTGATTTTTGGATAATTTGCAGATTTGTACCCAATTTTTTTATTGTAAATCTTTGCTTTTGAAAGAAAAATAAAGAATATGGTTATTTTTGGTGCTCCTTATCCATCTAAGATTGTTGCAGGCCTTGGGGAAATACGGTATCATATGCGTTGAAGATCTCATTCACGAGATCATGAATGTTGGCCCTCATTTCAAGGAGGCCAACAACTTCCTCTGGCCTTTCCAACTCAGTGCTCCCCTGGGGGGTCTTAAGAAGAAAAGAAACCATTATGTGGAAGGTGGGGATGCTGGAAATCGTGAAGATTATATCAACGAGCTCATCCGAAGGATGAATTAGGGATAGAGAGTGCTCCTAAAATCTTTTCTATTGTTTTATTGAGTTTAGACCATGAACTGCAGGTGTTGTTTTCTTCTTGTTCTAAAGCTATGAGAATTTTTGACATTTACTGTATTATTGGGGCTCCTGCCATTTTGTGGCAGCCGATTTGTCAGTAACAACCATCAAAGGAACTATGAATTTTGGCCTGTACTTGAGAAAATTCATACATTCAGAAACAGGCTGCGCATCTCTCTCTCTCTCTCTCTCTCTCTTACAGAGACACACTGCTGTTTCTAATGCAAGAACCCTTGTTGATTCACCTTTCTAAAGTAAGTCTCTTACACACCGTCTCTCGCACAAACACACACATGGATTGTTGCTGAAGCATCTTCTCTTTTATTGCTCACCAACCTTAACAAACTCTAGCCTCTCCCTTTCTCTCTCTCACTCTTGCTGTGTGCACGTGCCCCACCATACCCACCATGCCCTTCTAATTTAATGAAGCACACAGTAATGCTGTTTTCTACGCAATACTGACGGGTCGCAATCAACTTTTTGGGTGTTGGTTTTGTCTAGGTGATCGGTTCAGGTGCCAATATGGAGTTTTAACATCATAAATGATCCAAATTTGTTATTAGTTGTGGAGAGGGAGGAGTTTCTTTGCTACATTTGTTCCAAATTTGTTATTAGTTGTGGAAAGGGAGGAGTTTCTTTGCTACATTTGTCTCGAAAGATCTTTAATGGTGCTTCATTATCATTGCCATCGTCATAGTTTTTTTTTTTAATTAATTGGATGCAGTTACATGAATTCTGATAAGTCATTCTGCTCTATTAAAAGTTACCCTCTATTAAAGGCTACTCTCAATGAGGTCATAAGTCCTCATATCTTCACTAATATTTGTCGGTGTAAATTCTTTTGCTGTGTATCTATTGATTACAATTATGGCTAATTTTGAATTTTTATTAGGGAAAATTATAAAAAACCCCATGACAACACTATCTATGTAACTTATCCCCCAACCAAACTTTTTCTCTTAGTTTTTTTTCCCTACAACAAGTTTTCTATACAAATAACCCCCCAACTTACACAATAAAAAAAACTAAACTATCCTTAACACTATTGCACGCGCCTCTCTCTTTGGTAGTAGAACTTGTGAGGCACAACGCTCCTGTAGGCCTCTCTCTATGGTAGTAGAACTTGTGAGGCACAACGCTCCGGTAGTTGCAAAGCGTGCTCCTTCAGTTGCAAGGAGCGCTAAAAGACTAAATTACCCTTAATACTATTGCACACGCCTCTCTCTCTGGTAGTAGAACTTGTGAGGCACAACGCTCCGGTAGTAGCAAAGGGAAAGACTAAATTACCCTTAACACTATTGCACACGTCTCTCTCTGGTAGTAGAACTTGTGAGGCACAGCGCTCCGGTAGTAGCAAAGGGCGCTCCGGTAGTTGCAAGGGGCGCTCTAGTAGTAGCAAAGGGCGCTCCAGTAGTAGAACTTGTGGCACTTGCAAAGGGCGTTATGGCGCTCCGGTAGTAGAACTTGACACAACGCTCCGGTAGTAGCAAAGGGCGGTCCGGCGGTAGCTCTCTGGCAATAGCGCTCCAGCAGTTGCAAAGGGCGCTCTTGTGGCACTTGCAAAAGGCCCTCCAGCGGTAGAACTTGACACAGCGCTCCGGTAGTAGCAAAAGGCGCTCCGACGGTAGCTCTCCGGCAGTGGCAAAAGGCGCTCTAGCAGTAGAACTGGTGCGACGTCAAATCTTGTGAAATTGATTTTTGTTGTATGGGAATGACATTTCCGTCTAAAAAAATGAACTTTTTACTTTGGGGGGTTTTTGCATAAAAAGTTTATTATGGAGAAAAAAGTGAGAGAAAAATTTTGGATGGGGTAAGTTGCACAACTATTGGGAGGTTTTTTTTTTTTTTTGTAATTTTTCCTTTTTATTACGTTAAATGTATGACCTCCTAAAAGGAAAACTTAACGTCAACAAAGATAAAAAGTTACCCATGTGAAAAAGTTTACCAGAACGGGACCCTAATGTGCGTCAGCTTGACAATCTTAAAAGAAGGTTGATATTCGTTCGAAAAAGGTAGACGTGGAGTTTTGGGTGTCTTTGTTAACTGCGTTGTCTAAGTGGGTGGAAGTTTGAATGGCCTTGAAATGCAGGCCAACACTGGATAAACTTGATGTAAAATCAAATATTCGTCAAATTGTGATTGAAATAGTGTTCTTATCTGCTTGGCAGTAACTATCATTGAGAAATTTCAGTTGATTGTGCTGAAGTAAATACAAAACTTAATTTTCAAATCTCTTCCCAGTGTTGCTGCCAATCCTTGGAATTTGAGCTCTCTGAGGTTTTAAGAAGCATTAGTTTGCTGTTTTTTTGGGTGAAACCTTGGGAGCTTTGAGTTTGGTGTTGAGGTCATAATATGTCTTTGATGTAATGGCTCTGTGATTGATATTAGAATAAAGGAAAATATCTCCATACTTTTCATCTTTAAGTTTTATACGTCAATAGACCTAATATTTTAAAACTTATCTTGATTCATAAAAATTTTAAGTTTTATATCTTTTAACCCCTTAAGCTAGCTTTATCATTTTTAAATTTGTTTTTTGCCTCCAAACAAATATAAAAAAAACATACCCTTTTTAAACGTCATCATTTTTCTCTCATCATGTGATTTTTCTTTAATCTCTCTCTACCTATTTTTCCACTCTCTCTCTCCCATATCTCTCAATCTCTCTCTCTCCTGTATTAGAGAGACAAAGGGAGAGAGAAAATTTGAGAGAATATATAACGTAAAGAAAAGAAAGGTTTAAAATGAGTATGTCTTTTTTATATTTGTTATGGTTAAAAAAATAGTTAAAAGTAAGTAAAGTTAGTCAGGGGGTTAAGAGATATATTTTGAATGTTTGAGTTTATTGAGATATGAAAACAAAAAATAAAAGGTACAAAGATATTTTCCCTTAAAATACAGATTTTAATGTTTCTCAAAAAAAAAAACAAAAAAAGGTAAGAATCTGTTTTTTATTTTTTTTCTTTTTTTCTTTTAGATATTGTAGTGGAAACGGGGTTTTCTACCTGTGGTAGGAATGAAACTCAATAAGTGATAAACCACACCACTTGGCTTTGAGCCCGATCCTCAGGAAATTGCCTTTCAAATCTAAGCAATCAAAAAACTCCTACAAAAGAAGAAGTTAAGTCTCTATCGAGAGAAACTCACTTCAACTTCACTCGTAAAAGGATCCTGTCAAACAACAAAAATCGGAGCAGCAACTAACCTTGCAGAATTAGTAACGGTGTTTTCCAAATAGAGGGTTTAGCGGAGAAAAATATTTGTTGTGTTCTACCACGAACCTAGAGTTAATGTATGGTGCCACTATCTTCCTGGCAGAGCATCATAGCGATGAAAGATTTGTGATGCATTGGAGTCCAAATGGATATTATCGCTTCCATAAAACTGAGTTAAGTAAAACATTTGTATAAATTCTCTTACAATTAGATTCTTTTATACATTTTTGGGAAATACACTAATGCCAAATTTGATTTGCCTTCTAACTTGATTGTCTTGAAATATGTTAGCAAATATTTTATGATATTATGACTTCATATCTGATAAATAAATTAGATAACTAATTTATATATATATATATATGAAAAATTCTGGGGATAGCCCACTAGCTCATATGAACATATGAGCCAAACGGTCCAGATTGAATTTGGGCCGATCTGACGATCACGGATGTTTGTTAGTGTTTGATTTTTATTTTATTTTTTTACTAAATCTAAATCACTGAAAATTTTAAAGCGTGTGTTCATAAAAAA